TGATCCAATGTTGACAGATCGTGTTTGGGATGCTTTGACAAAATCTTTTGCAAGCCAAATGAAATCTGTTTTCACAGCATCAAGCTTTGTCAAAGAGATATTTACAAGTGGTTATCCAAAACTGGTCATGATGATTGAGAATCTTCTTGAAAGAATCTCACGCGATACTGATGTCAAAGGAGTTCCACCAGCTCTCAGTTCACAAGGAAAGGAACAAATGGTAGCTTCGATTGAGATCTTCCAGAACGCGTTTTTAGGCCTTTGCTTAAATAGACTGTCGGATCTTGTGAACTCCGTGTTTTCAACGTCAAGCCGTGGAGGTGTTCCCTCTAAAGAGCATATTGCAAGGATTACATCCCGAATTCAGGAAGAAGTTGAAGCTGTGCAGCAGGATGGGCGTTTGACTCTCCTTGTCTTGCGTGAAATCAACAAAGTTCTAATTCTACTTGCACAAAGAGTTGAATACCAGGTAACTTCTAGTTTAGCCTTGAGCTTGTTCTTCTATTCCCTCTTTTCTAAATTCTCTATCTGACGGCTGATTTTCTGACTATTATTTGCCTAAGATTGTTTCTGGTAGGCATCTTCAATCAAGATCTCTTAATTTCACTTACTGATTTCATTATCAACATATTTCATTATCAGACTTCTGTTTAGTCGCACGACCTATTGAAATAGAGTCGCAAGATCTATTGAAGTAGGCTTTGAAATCCTAGGCTGTTCTCAATCAACTGTTGCATATTTGCACTTGTCCAGGTAAGGGAGGAACCAAATCTGTTAGTGTGGGACATTTTCTTTTGCAAGTGACCTCCCATATTATCCTTCCGTCTATGAAAGAGAGAAAAAATGCTTTTATTGGAAGTAATAGTTGATCAACCAATTATAACCACCGAAAAAGTGACTTCTGATTCCTTGATTTCACATTTTTGAAATAATCAGTTTTTCATACAGTTTGGTATATAAAAGCATCTCTTGCATAATATCCTAGAAAACATTAGTTCGCCTGGAACATACGATTCCCGTTTTAGATTTCACAACCAACCTTATCCATGACAGATATCAACCGGGCCCGAAGCCCGCCAGATAACTGGCCCTGCAACTCCAGCACAGGTAAAAAACTTCACTTTGTACCAACATCTCCAAGAAATCCACACACGCATCACGTCCATGCTAGCCGGATTACCCACTGTAGCCTCAGATGTCTTATCCCCAGCTCTTGGCGCCATACATGGGGTCGCTGTTGATTCCGTGACCTCTTTATTTCAAGCCATGCTCGAACGTCTCGAGTCATGCATCTTGCAGATTCACGATCAGAATTTCGGCACACTTGGCCTGGATGCTGCCATGGACAGCAATGCATCACCTTACATGGAAGAATTGCAAAAGAACATTATCCACTTCAGGGCCGAGTTCCTGTCCAGGCTTTTACCGTCCTCTGGAGCCATCTCCACTGGAATCGAAACCATATGTACGAGGCTAGTGAGGAGCATGGCTTCTCGGGTTTTGACTTTCTTTTTGAGGCATGCCTCACTCGTTCGGCCACTTTCCGAATCAGGAAAGCTGAGGATGGCACGGGACATGGCCGAACTCGAATTGGTTGTTGCTCAGAATTTGTTCCCTGTGGAGCAGCTCGGCGGGCCTTACCGTGCACTTCGGGCTTTTCGGCCCGTCATTTTCCTGGAGACGTCTCAGCTGGGCTCGTCCCCGCTTCTTCAGGATCTCCCGCCTAGCGTCGTGCTTCACCATATATATTCGCGTGGGCCCGAGGATCTTCAGTCGCCTCTGCAGAGGAACAAACTCACGCCCTTACAGTATTCACTGTGGATGGACTCTCAGGGTGAAGATCAGATATGGAAAGGAGTGAAGGCCACTTTGGATGATTATGCCGCGAAAGTTGGGGCAAGAGGGGACAAGGAATTTAGCCCTGTCTATCCTCTGATGATGAAAGTGGGGGCTTCTATAACACAAAATGGGTCGTAATTTTAATCATCGGTATATAAAGCTTCCCTGGGTAGATTTTTATCCAAGTACGACAATTGGTGGTTCAACATTGATAGCTTCTTGTTTTTTCATTTTTATGATATAAAAATCTTATATGAACCTTGTACTGTTCTGCCGTTGTGCTTCACTGTTCCAGTTTTGGTTCGTTCATTTTTAGCAGTTTTTAGCATGACTGACCTTTCAATGACACGTGAAGTTACAGAATGAAGTAGATTGAAGTCCTTGGATATGGATGCATATAGGTGGTAAACGAAGTAATTTCACATGCATGACGACGGCATCACTTTAGCCCTGTATTGTTCAGAATGTTGTTGTGAAGATGTGTACTAATTACTATGAAGTTATAGTGTCTGGAAATTATTCGTTGGTACTGTGTGTCTTGTGTTTGTTTCTCAGGCACAGCGAGAAATGTGTAAGAAATTAGGGTGGATCGGCTTTGAATTAGCACTCGCTTTAGCTTATAAAAATACTTTATTCGTTTATATGCTCTTGTCCAATATGCAGTTGTGTCGCCAATATATCTGCCAAAGGCTTTCTACACCTAATATTAAACATTTGTACTACATTTTGGGATTGATTAACTCACATAACTAGTGTTTGCTATTAATCATTGTAGTATATGTTGATGTACTTGCTATTTGTAGCTTCAATATCTTATTCTCTCAGTAAATTTTAACCACGTTAACTACCAAAAGAAGATTGAAAAGAAATAAAGAATCATCAACAAATGGGGATTCTCCCGTAAAGGATTTTCACAAAATAATTGGTAATATAATTATTAATAAAAAATGACATGACCAGCAACAAGACTCCGTGGCCCAATGGATAAGGCGCTGGTCTACGGAACCAGAGATTCTGGGTTCGATCCCCAGCGGAGTCGCCTTTTATTGAATTTTACAGTTTTTGTTTCTTGTTTTTTTTTTTTGTTTTTTGTTTTGTTTTGTTTTTTTTAGATCCCAACTCTATTGAAGTTGTACCTGTATCCTCAGAATCCGNGTCTCTCACGTTAATGAAGAAATTCATAAACATAATGTGCAAGCAGTGACTTGTGGGATACTGATGTAACATCACTTCACCAGTGAAATCTTCAATCTTCAGTGATCAAGGTAGGTCAAATTTTACTAAAAACACATAATAAGCCTATAGAAAGGAAATATGTACCCTAATGAGAATTTGAAAGCTATATGCAAGAAAAGCAAATGGAATTGCAAGTTGTAGGCAGAGAGGCACGAAACAGTTTGTTGCAAGGATATTGACCCTTTATTATCTAGTCATAAATAACAAACCATATGTATAAACTCTTTTCAGCCCATCACGTAGGTGAAAGCCGTACAAACTCGACTCGACGATCATCTGAGGTTGAGCTGAGATCAAGAAGACTCGCTAATTCACTGCACACACATGTACGCATACATATGAAGACAACACCTCATTACTCAAAAACAAAAACACCACTTTGTTCCATTCTTTTGGTCTCCCTCATTTTTAACTTTAACCAACTCAGAATAACTTAACGCACAAGAAACACACACACACAATTACGACCAAATCGACATTACAACTATTCAGATGGCGGGAGGCTATACAACGACTTGAGCTGCCTGCTGATCAGCTTGCTACTATTCAGCGCCATCTCCAGCTCCATGTCACTCGACCACCATTGCTCCAAACCGTGCGCCTCCACAAACTTCTGCTTCCCCCCCTTCGAAAACACCAACACTTTGGCCAAACACGGCCCACTCTCAACCCTCGCCCCACCACCTTGCCCATCCGTATAATAGCAACAAATATAGTCCCCACTGTTTATATACAAATGAGGCACCCACAACAATCGCTTCGACCCGTCTCCATTCTCAGCCCGCTGGGCCCCACCATCCCCGTTCACATATGGGAGCATGGACCTAACCCGGTCCCACACATACCCAACACTTTCCCCGACAGTTTTCAGACCCGAAGCCAATGAAACCGAGGGGGGGTTGAACAAGTGAGCCTCCACGCATACGCCCTGTTTGGCTAAAGCCTTCCCGACCTGAAGTGCAAATCCAGCCCCCAACGAGTGGCCCGCCAAGCAAACATTCCGGCTACCGTATTTTTCCGAAACTTTCCTCAGCGCCTTTAAGCCGAGGCCGAACCTGATCGACCCTTTTAAGCTCTCCCAGGCTAGGAACCTCAGGTCGTCTTCGATGTCCCGTCTGATTGTGGGGGTTTTGAGAAGAGTCCCTCTGAAGGCTAGGATGGCCTGTGGGGCCCCATTTGGTCGTGTGAGAATGAAATGGGATAGGGCAGCTGAACGGTCCCATTCGAGTACTGCACCGAATATTGATCCGTCTCGTTCGTCTGTGAGGATTTCGGTGAGTTTGTATTTGAAGGGCGTCCACCATTTTGGGGCGAGGGCATTTTGGTCTTTGCGGTTCTCTTGCCGGTCGAGTTCGAGCAGGTAGACTGCTTGTATGAAGCAGGCGATTACGGTCCTTTTGTAGTTGCTGTCTTTCCTGTTGTTTTATCAGGGATGTTGATTTAAAGGTTCGTAATTTTGAAATGGAAAATGAATATAAAGGACTTTGGACTAGTGTCAAATTAAAACCACGATCTAATACTGTACAGTAACCAGAGTCTAATATTCAATTTTCCAGACCAAACCCAACTAAAACCATTACAAAGTATGGTAATGAATTTAGAAATAAGGCAGCCTTAATCCGCAAGCAAGAAAGCAGAGTCACATGGTCTTCCAATCCCACCCAAATTCAACCGTGTACTAAAATTCCCACAATTAAAATAAGGCGAAAATGAACTCTTTTAACAAGCAAACAAACAAGATCGAAGTGAAGTTGAATTCCCAGCACAACACTGTGTAATGTCATCACGCCAAGAAAGAGCAAACAGTGAGGGGAAACTGACCAGGTGGAGCTGATTAGGTCTTTCCAGCTAATAGAAGGGACGTTGTGGGGCCCACACACGTCGAATGCATCGCGATGCGGACCCGTATTCTCCATCTCCCGAAAATCTGCAGCTTATTATCTTGCTCTGTGGGTGTATAACTTGTATGCAAGGGAGCGCATGAATGAGCGGACAGAATAAAAAAATTTATATGTGAAAAGGGCCGAATAAAGGAGAACTGTGGACGCTGGCCACCATTGTTTTCGGGCATGCGATTCCAAGGAATAAATGCAGGATTTCAAGCCGACTGTTGGATATGGTGCAATCCAAAGCAAATACAGCATAAAGGACGGATTCTTGACAATCACCTCTAGTCGGTTTATTCAACCCAGATTAACATTTTAAGATTATGATTTTATTTTATAAGTGAGTGACTTAAGTGAATTTTGTGAAATTTTTAATTACTTTTATGGACATTTTGAGACTTCTATAAACTTCTATATCATTTTTATTAGAGACTTTTTAAAACTTTCATCACTTTTTTAAACTTATACTTTTAGTATAACTATTACACTTGAGTGAAATGTTTATATTAACTAAATTAAGCTAAGTTTTTTAAATATTAAAATGAGATGAGTTCTAATAGTACACACCATCTGTTCAACAAGAAGACAACAAAATAAAAAAAAAATGATTTTTAAGCATTACAATTGTGTACTAAGATTAATATATATTCCTCTACAAATTTTGAATCAACTATAAAATTGTTCTTTGAACTGGGTCATTCTCGAATACAACTCAGTTCTACTAAAAGTTCAAGCTCGGGTCATTTGTTTTCTTAAATGAATCTGGCTTGAACAAATAATCAAAAAAATCGAAGTGAGTTTGTTCACGAACTACTCATTTTTTTAATATTTTTTTTTTTTTTAAAATATTTTATTTTCACGAGAAACTCATTTAGGATCTTTTGATTATTAAACGAGCTAAGTCGATTTGAGATTTTTTCATGTTTCAATGAGTTGAACTAGAGCTGAGCTTTATATTCAGTTATTAAACGAGCACAAGCTCAAACTTGTGACACTCATAATCAATCCGATCATGACATATTTGTGTAGTTATCAGTGCATCTTATTTAAATTTTTATTTTTCTTTTAATTTTTGCATCAAGCTGCAGTGTTAGGAAAATTTTATTAAGATATATATTTTTACAAGGCACATACATCGTCAAAAGACAATGATGCAAGTGCAAACTATGCAAACATTTGGACGTGAAAAATAAAATTTACAAGAAAACAAGCAGGAGGATATAAATAAAAAGACAATAAAAAAATCACGTTAAATATATGTGATGAAAAAACAAATTATACAAGTCATCCAAATAAATGAAGAAAATAATAGAGTATGAAAATTGATATGATACATATAGTTATGTACATTATAGAAAAAAAAAATAAGAGCACTACATAAATCCAGCAAAATCCCACCAATTTGATGAGATTTTTACTGGGACTTTGTCTTTGTAATTTATTTAAAAAAAAGTCTCCAAAACTCTTCCAATTTAAAAAGTAATAAAGTCTTCATACTTTGAATACAAAGTGACTTATTGAGACTCTTAGAAAGGTTCAATTGAATACACTGAGACTTTTAGAGATTTTTAAAAGTCTTTAAAAGTCTTAATTGAATACATGCAGACTTTTTAGAAGTCTCAAAATGTTTCAGTTGAATACACTAGAATTTTGAAAGTTTTAAAAAGTCTTTAATTGGATACATCCTCCTACATATTCTTGTAATTTGGGGCTAACAAGACTACAATAGTTTCTCACTCAAGTTCGGTATATTAAGTAAGACTAGTACGATTACCTGTCCGGATGTATGGGATTTACGAAAAAACCATGAATATTTTCTTATATACAACGTTCTTCGTTAATTATACTTTCTTATATACGACGTTCTTCGTTTGCAAATTATTTTCACCGTCACAACTTAATATTTTCAATCATTTTCAGTTTGTGACTCGTGAAACACGACATAAACTGATCATGCGTAAAAAATGGGGTTCTTCAGGTATAAACCAACATGAGAAAGAGATTGTCTGTGACTCTTGTTAATAATCATCGTATAAGGAACCATCGTATAACAATACCACTTCAGTTTGGTTCACTACGAGGAAATTTCAATTTAATTTTTTTTTTGCCAATCTCCTAACAAAAATGCATAGTTAAATTATATATTATCATATTTTTATTTATTTTATTTTTTAAAGTATGACATTTCTATTTAAAAATATGTATATAATTGTCTTGTCGTCGTTAGGTATGTCTAACAAAAGACATAATAAAAAATAACTATTGTTTTCCACTTCAATAGAAAACTAAATTTTTACTACGTGCTCAAAAGAGAAAAAAAAGATGGATTTCTCGGTGTCATTGAGCAATAACGTAGACTGTCCAAAATGGATGGATTCCTATATGTGTCAACGAGCAATAACAGACTATCCAAAACAGATGCTATGACCACGAGGGGAAAAGTCACTTTATGCATTTACTATACTTTTTTAAAACTTTTATAAGATTACGTCATTCAAAATAAAATCATGTATAAACCATTCATAAACAAGTCATAAATAAAAATACTACAATATAAAAAATAATGAAACAAACAAATCATAAATCAATAATTTATGAATATTGAAGCTTAGTATAATTATAATTAGAAAACATAACCAACCAGTCACACCACATCATTTTATTTAGGTAGGTCTTGTGTTAGGCCAATCCAATCATTAGAACGACATATTTTATTCACAACTATACATACAATTAATTGAAAAATGTCATACTTTAAGAAAATCATAAATTGAAGTATGATAAAGTATGTCATTTGATAATATAACTATGCATTTTATCCATAGAGTTTGATGAGTCGACCCACTATAGAGCATGATAGATTGATTTGCTTAACTATTGAGATGATTGTTGATGTCGAAAATTGGACGATCAACCGTCAAATATAAGTCGAATTTCTTGTATGAAATCGAAGAACAAAAAATGATAGAGAATCAGTACTTTTCTTATTTTGGAGAGAAATCTCCTTTTTTCTTGTTGGGGGAAGATGAATAATGAGGAGAAGACCGGTATTTTTGTTAAGGCAATTTACATATATATGGCCTATTTTTTACAAGTGGGACAATAAAATAATACACCATTATTTAATATAAGATGATTATTGTGGGACCCGCTTACGACTCTTGACGGTTCCAATTGACATTCATTTTTTCGGCGATTGTGGCATCTTTCTGGAGGCGGCTTCTTTAAGATATCTGCACCGATCGGTCACCTTGAATTCTGTCCGGCTCTGTAGCGGGCAGACTCGATATCTAGGGATCCGATCAGCTTTCGGGTGACCTTTCTTGAAAACCTGTTTGTACATTCATTTATTACGTATTTTCGGCCTCTTGGTTGTCGGGCCGTATTTTGTTATTATTTTATTAATCGGAACCATATTGAGTATCAATAATATTTTTACACAAGAATTTGTATTTGTGTTTTATTTTATGTTTGTGGCAAATGAAACAAACTACTAAACCGACGCAGTATAACCAGAGGCTAGTGGCAAGCGGACCTACATTCCGTAATATATGTGGACGAGCTAATTTTCGCAACGGCCATTTAAATTGAGGCGGAGGTTTAAGTTTTAACGCAACATGTTAACAATGGCAGCCAAAAAAAAAGCCCTTTCCAAACTACATCAAAAATTTTCCCAAGAACAAATACATCCATGGCCCTGACTTTCGGAACCGCTTCTACTGTTCTACACCCGACAACTTCAATATCTTCAAAGATTTGTAAGAAGAAAATTGGGTGGAATATCTGTGATACTGCATCTCCATCTTGTCGAAAGGCGGCTGCTGCTCTCTCTGAAGGAACTGATAGTAGATTCACCGACCAGGATTCGCCTGCTTACGCTGGTATATTCCTTTTCTGGTTTGTTTGATTTTAGATATGCGGTTAAATGCTTTTCTACATCAGATTTTGAAATGGGTAATTTTAATTCAGATATGAAGAGAATTTTTTAATGTTTCACATTGGAGTATTGGACGTAAGTTGGATCTTTTCTCTTTATTGTTTGTCTTTATGGGGTAGTGACTTAACCTAGGATATGAATGATGTTTAACACTTTTAAACATTTTTGAATGGTTATTAAATTTAGGTGAGCTTAAAGTGTTTGGTGGCTGCTGTCTGAAGGCGTATTATTTAACGGGGAATTGATATTGTATTACTTTTAGATTGTTAGGATTATACACTACTCTTTATGGGCATATGTTGTTTCAAGAAACTAGCAATTAAAGAAGCTCTGAAAAACGACCAGATCATTACATACCACTTTGTGAAATTTTAGTATAATTTAATGACTTCTACAAGTCCCCTGAAGTTTGCTAAAGTATAAGGAGATTTTAAATTTAATGGACGTGCTTGTTATGTGTGCGGACCTTTTCTCTTTGATGGAGTTGTACCAAATATAAAACGGGGAGGAATAAAAGATCCTACTGTTATTAGTATCTGAGTCTCGTTATGTCGAGTGTTTGCATTGTTGTGTTCTAACCGTGTAACTGGTTGAAAAGGGAGGATTTCAGAAGAAACACAATATAATAGAAAATAAGATACTGGAACTCTAAGCAGACAATAGACTTATTAACAGGTCTAAAAGCCTAGTCGAAGAAGACATGAGCGTAAAAAAAATATTCATTCATAATTATCTGCTGTTATATGGACTACCCCCACATGTTAAATTGGTAACAATTTCTACCTTTAACAATACATTTTGCCAGGCCTAGTTTCATGTTCATCCCACAGCCATTTGGCTAATAAAGCCATTAATCTGTTGCAATAAATCTTTTCCTGATTTTGTGTTCCTTTACCGTGCTACAAGGGTCATCTTCTTCTGCTCGGGTTCAACTAGATCTCTTGGAACAACTCACTGGTGCCGGTAGCTCGTCTGTTGACGGTATCTACTACCTTTTGCAAATTGACAAAAAGAGCAAGTTATAGCTGAAAAAGAATTATTTTGGGTCCAATGTTAAATTCAATTTTTTAACCAGGTTATACGAGCGATGGTAACTCTGGTGGGCCAACGGTACGCGAACAACTTGCAAATTTGGTCGGTGATCGTGATGACAATTTCAGCCTTCCGTTAGGTAAAAACTTAAAGAAGGTGACTGCTAAGTTCTTGACCATATCCCAGAAAAGGAATATCCGGAGGCAGTCTTACTTGAACGAAGTGTCTCGAAGGAATGACTCGGTTTTCTTTGCCACCATTGGTGCTTTTGTCATCCTACCACCTGTTGTCATTTTAGTGATAGCAATTGCAATGGGTTACGTGCAGCTTTTTCCGTGATTAATTTCAACTCTGTACATATTATAGTGAAATACTTTTCATCTGATATAAAAGAAATTCATATTCCATTTACAATGTACTGAGATTTGAGTAAGGGACTGTCCATGTAATCAGAGTCTACACATTTGAAGTCCAAGACAAACCAAATCGTGCTACAAGCCTACATCAATCGGAAAGAACAATTAAATATTTTTTTAGCGGCATTCTCTTTACGAGTATTGCAATCGGCATCAGAAAACCAACCGAAGCCCATAGTAGGATCCCGTGAAGTTTGATCTCGAATAAAAGCTTCTGAGAAGGTAGCATGTCATAAGCTTGAACAAAGGATAATAAACTCTATCAGGATACATATATTGTAAGATAATGAAAAGCAGCTGCAAAAGCACTTCTTACCATTCCTTTCCTTTTTCCTCTCAAGTGACAGCTACCTATTTAATCAAGATTTATCCTATGAACATGGATTTTTATAATCTCTACAAAATGAAAGAAATTATAAAAGGGTTAGCACATTTACTCTGTTAGTGCCTTAGTGGCCACTTTTTCCTCTTTCGGTTTGTAGAACCAAAGCTGGAGGATTAGATATGTTGCTGTATGTCTGACTATTTTATTGTGTTTATTGCTTTCTTATGGATATATTATTATATAGGAGAAGCAAGATTATGGAAAGGGAATATTTGTTTAGATTTTAAAAAGTGTGGGGGTCCTTTTGACAGGCTTTTGGCCTTAATGGGGGGAATGTAGAATTTTTTCTGAGTATTGGATATGGTAGTGGTCTGCAAGGACTTAAAGCTGAGCAGCATTATCTTCTGTTAATTTTACTAGTCCCACTATATGCAAGGTACAAATAACAACTGCACACAGTACAAGTAGTCAAAAATATACTGATAAAGCAATACAAAATCAAGATTTGTGATTGATTGGCTCCATAACTTTCTATTCTCACCCTCTCGATAGTACACATGATTTTCAAATTGTCTAAGTGGGAATTTATTAGATGAATGGTTAGTTGTGGTGAAATCTGAAAATCAGGGATTGAATTGTGGCATGACAAGGAACCAATTGGTTTGATCCATGCCCCATATTCTTATTGTAAGGTTGACTTAATTAGTGATACATTATATAACATGTAACTAAGCATATGTTAGTATAAATATATTTTTACCAATAAATTTACATCTAGTAAAAGTCTAAATCTACTAATACTTTTCATAACAGACTAAATCTATATATATTTTATTTCTAATAAACTCAATGAAAGATCCAGCATATATAATTTAGAATAGTGGTAACACTACTATTAGACATTTCTAACTACTAGTAAATTGCACGTGGCGACGAATGTTTTTTACCGATTAAATATATGTCAGAAAAATATACCACAAGTTTATCTAATATTATTTTATAATTAATAAAATTTATTTAACATGGAGCTATAATTATTTTATAAGATTATTTTAGGTCTATTTATTATTTTAAATTGGTATTGGTATATATATATATATATATTATTTTACATCGATATAAATAATTATATTATTTTTATTTTATTTACAAAACATTGGTAAAATCAAATATCATGGGAAAGAAATGATATGATATATTACATATAAAAGGGTAACCAAAATAAAATAAGTATTTCAAAATTAAGAAATTTAATGGTGTAAATTAACTAATTTTTTAACTAAAAAATTATGACTAACATACCGATTTCTAAGACAAAAAAATAAATATATTTTTTATAAATGTGCATCTCAAGTATATTTTACATTTATAATTCGCTAGCTCCAATTGATATATGACATTTATTAATTTTATCATTTTTTTTTCATTTTTGAGTGGAATGTCAGTTATAAGCTTTCTCGTTGTGTAGTTTTACCTTTTTATTACGTAGAACATCATTTTTACATCTTGTTTAGTATTAATATTACCTTTTCAGTAGAACATCATTCTGGCCTCTTCTTTAATTATTATAATACTAATAAAATATTTAAGGATTTTTCAACTTATATGTATTTTTTTTTAATTACTAATAATCATAAATTAAATGATAATTACATTAAATATGTTATATTTTGTATCATTATTTACAATTTTCAAAACAATAAACTGCACACAATATTATATATAGTGCGAATTTTTTAGTTTGATTTGGAGTCATACTTTTACTACAAGAAAATGATGAAATTCCATGAAAACATATTACAACGAAATTTAGATAACAATTCTAACGAATATTTCAACGTTACAATTTTCGTTTGAATTTTCAATGAAAATTATAACAAAAATATTTTTTTGCAATCATTTGCAAATCCATGTTTGTCCAATAGTCCCAAAACTGGCATCATCCCAAAACAAATAGCATAAGATATCTAACAAACATTATGGGAACATTTTTTATAATTTTAATCATGTCCTCTATTTAGAAAATAAAATTAAAAGAATAAAGACAAATAATGATTAATTTACAACTCAACCAATTATAATTTAATTCAACTCATAACGTTATTAAAATTATAACATCAATGCGGTATCCCAACTAAAGAAAATATGATATCAAAGTTTACAATTTTAGGCTCTATTTTTCTCTTTTCTTTTTATTCTTGATGATATCTTATTATCTCTCTTTTGCGACATAATTTTTATCTAATTTTAGAAAATATATTTTAAGTCTTTTTTAAGTGTATGTAGAATTCTAGTTATATATTCGTAATTTATACAATCATCTATTATATTGTCGAGTCAACTATAATACAACATAAAAGTTTTGCTCATAAAAAGATTTTGAAAAATGTATATTTTTTTTATGATTTTCTTATGTCGAATTGAGAAAAACTATGTTGTTTTTTTTTTAAATATTATTGAACTTATTGTGATTATATTGATGTGTTAAAAAAAGTAATATATATGAGAAAGTTGACAAATTAAGAAAAGTATACTTTATAAATTGTAATGACATTATGTTGTTTTGATGCAATATTTTTTGTATTAATTAGATAGTGCTCTTAACATGAAATTATTTTGGATTCGCCACTGCAGCTAGTTTTTCAATGGAACTTTTATTGTTTTACTCAATTTCAGTGACAATTTTTTTTTAAAAAAATCCAAAATAAATTCATACAAAAATAAATATTAGTAATTGAGATATTAAATCCACAAAAATTTCAATGTAATTTAATTTACTCACCATTGGAATATCTAGTGAATCTTTTCAATAGAAATTATACCAATGAAATATCTGTTGGTATTTTCTATGGAATACCTTACTGTTGGATTTTCATTATAATATGGAATTTTTGTATTCTTTCATAATCATTAAAATGTTTATGTAGTAATTTTTTTTATTTATTAATTGTGTTTATAATTTTTCTTTTAACATATATTAAAACATCTACTTTTTAATTCATATAATTTTCTTACAAGTCACTCGTTATTTTATATTGAGATTACCTATTAATTTCTCAATTGAATTACTTCCCCTACATATTAATGGAAATAAGTATTATTTTTATATGCAATATAATATTTATATATTATATTAAAAAAGCTAATAACAAATAAAAAATTAAATTTACAATAATCAATTTATTTTTAAAAAAATTAAAATCTCTAACCTACATAGATTAAAGTACAAATAACGATTGGCAATAACCTAAAACTTACACCTATAATTAATAAGCACAAAAAAAGTAACAATCGTGCTCGTTTACATCGATATGTATAAGTTTTAAAAGTTTTATATTTATATTTATTAATTATAACATTTTTAGTTATTACTTTCTTTCATATGTATTAGTAAGTATTACAACTTAATTATATTTTTAATATTATGTATCAGATTTAATATTTTCTTACTTTATATTGTTCTTTCACATATATATAACTTTTAGTTATATATAACTTAATTATATATAACTTTTAAATTTGTTAAAAAAAATGCATAATACTAAGTATATAACTTTTTTTTGTCATATGTCTTATTATATCTATTATAGTTGTACATCTTTATATTATATTATGTATAATTACAATTTTCTAATTAATATTGTTATCAAATATTAAAAAAATATATTTTGTACATTTTTTAATAAAGTTGATTTATTGTAATAATACATATTAATAGATAGGTGAGTAATGGTACTATATCGATATAAATTCTTGGTAAAAATAATTAATTTTCAACGTATATAGGCATATCATGATTCACTATATATTTTAAATTAACTTGAAGATAATGATGGATAAAAGTACAAATAACTATTGTCTATCACCTAAAACTTACACTTAGAATTAATAAGAATAAAAAATTAACAAGCGTTTAATAACACCTGAATTGCGTTAAGAAATTGAATCCACCAAAAAGCCAATATTAGCTCTCTTAATTCCTCTAATTGTGACTCAACTCGTTTACATCGATAAGTACAAGTTTTAAAAGTTTTATCTTTATTTTTATTAACTATAACATTTTATTGTTACTTTTTAATATTTATTAGTAAGTGTTATAACTTAAACGGATTTTTAATATTATTTGTCAAATTTAATTTTTTTCCTTTATATTGTTATTTTATATGTTTATATATGTGTATACATACATATATATATACACAAACACACACACACACACACACACACACACACACACATATATATATATATATAACTTTTATATTTGTTAAAGAATACATAAAATTAAGTATGGAACCTTTTGGGTCATATGTCTTATTATATATCAATTAATTGTACATCGTTCTATTTTATTATATATAATTATAATTTTTTCATTCATTACATGAAAATAAATAGGTTGGGTTTTAGTATTATACATTTTCATAAAATTATTCTAACCTTATTTTAAGCAAAGAAATTGGGTTGCTTAGAAGTTTCGATTGCAAAAATTATTACTTTTTATAGGTTATTTTGAAAGAAAAAAACTGTTTCTTTACTTCATGGGTGTTATGAGGACAACATTATGGATTTCAATTTTATTACTTATAGTTATTAATAATAGATGAGTAATGGTGATATATGATATAATTATTGATAAAATAAATAATATTCTGCGTAAAGACATATCAAGATTCTCTAAATATCTTAATTAATTCATAGAAAATTGTATGATGAAAATAAAATCATGCAGCTCAACTAATATCCCATTCGACATGAAAAAAATGGGACCGGGTTTTAGTATTATATTATTCTAATCTTATTTTACGTAAAGAAATTGAGTAGATTAGAAGTTTAGGTTGCAAAGTAATTATTTCAAAAAATTATATCTCTTATTATTACATAATTTATTCTTTTTTTTATATGTTATTTTGAAAAAAAAAAATTTATATAGTTTGTGGTTGTTATGAGGACAAACAACATCGATTTTAAATATTTTACT